CCTGACAAGCATCCTGGAAACCCCAAAGCAGGTATGTATTCTTTCCTGTGTAATAACAATCAATGTTTTTCTTCTATTGGCATGGCAAGATAGTAAATTCAGCCTTAAATCTTTATTTCCCCTCAATATATTTTAATCATTGTGTGCATTGAGCATGTTCTATTTAAATAACAAGCTTGTGATATTCTTTCCAAGACTTGCACACTCCTTTGTGATAGTGAAGGAAGACACTTGTTGGATTTTTTTTTTATTTTTAGGACCTTGAACGTTTTTTCTTTCTACATTAGATCATCTTTCAAAATAGAATTTATTTGTGGTGTGTGTCCCTTCCCAGACCTATGGAGTTTGTTCACTTCCATGCTCAGTCGCCCTCAAGTGCCACACTTGCATCAATCAGTTAATTTACTGCCAGGAACAAGCCTGTGAGGAGCACATCAATGTGCTTTAGTTTCTTTTAATGTAATTTAATGACTGGAAGTGAAGAGAAGCCAGCCCCACGAGGAGCCTCTGTTTGCAGAACAGCAGCTGATGTTTGTGTTGATGAGGGGGCAGCTCCTCAGAGGCCTGAGCAGCACCTGGGTTATCTGGAGCCAGTCTTTGCCCATTCATCACCACAGAGAGCCCTGGGCAGAGCTCACCGAGGCTGAGCTACAGAAAAGAGCAGCCAAGTGCCAAATATCAGAGCAGCTTTGCTTGTCACAAAGAAATGTTATATTCTCTCTTTACCTGAACATGCCTTATTTACTTTAAATACCTTTTTACAATACTAAATGTGAGCATTTACTTTATGTGTTTTATTTCATCGGCTTAAAGCTTAATAAAGAGTAATTAAAGTAGACCTTTTATTTGTTTAAAACTAGTAATATTATAATAACAAAACCTAGTACAATTGTTCCTTCAGCCTGCTGTCTCTTGTTTGATTTATTGTTATCAATTTTGATTAGTGTTTGGGTGTAGTGTATTTCAAAAGAACACTCTCTGTAATTTGTAAACTGGAATAAATGAATGATAGTAATAATAATAGATCACTGTTCCATAGGTGAGTCATAGATAAAGTCTAAATCTTTATAACCCTTCCACAAATAGTAACGTGCAGGTGCATCCTTAGTAACCATTCCATGAAAAATTATCCTGTAGTGAAAAATGAGAGCTCTTACTCATGCAATCTGGATAATGTTTTAGCATATGTGGAAAATACACTGAATAAAATGCACAAAATAATTAATCTGAGCTATATTTAGATTATTATTCTTGTTTGTCAGCTCCTGCTCATCTTTTTTTCTTGCTGCTCATGGTTCTGTTGCCGTGCTCTGCTCTGACTCCTGTGTGCTGCAGATCTGTGTGCTCCTTCTAAGCAGTGTTGCTCTAATTTCCCTCTTTAAGGTGGTCTGCAGGGCTTGACTTGTGCCTTTTACCTGTGTACTCTGTGAGTTTCTCTCAAGTTTAAGAGCTTTTGAAGCTGGTAGACAAAGGAACATTTCAATCCTGATTTGCAGGGGTAGCAGTCCACCACAGTTGCCATGATCCTAAAGCCAGCCAGAACTGCAAGCTGGAAGCAGACCCACATCCCTTGGCCGCTTGCTTCTCCTTTTGCCTTCTCCTCTGCTTTGCTCTGAGCCATTGCTGCCGGGTCCCCTTTTGCATCTGAATTCATTTCTTTGCCAACCGAACCTTGTCCTCGGTGTCCTTTTTGTCTGTGTCCCAGTGGAGGATTTCCAGAGGCTGCAGCAGGCCAAGGAGACTCTGACCAACGAGGAGAGCCGTGCGCGCTACGATCACTGGCGCCGGAGCCGAGTCACCGTCCCGTTCCAGCAGTGGGCGGCCCTGAGCAGCTCGGTCAGAACGGTCGGTGCTGCCCCTTCGGGCCCTCAGCAGCTCGGCGGGGAGAGCTGCAGCTGTGGGGGCTCCTGCACTGCCAGCCTCTGGGATGGTGCGGGGACACTCCTGCACTGTGCATGTTAAGGAAATTCAGGAAAAATGGGAGGACTTCAGGAGCCCATTCGCAGAAGGGCGTTAAGCCAGTGGTTTTAGTGAATTTGTCAAGTTGCTGCTTTTGTAGGAAGTTTAAGTAACTTAAGGGCTGTTTTCAAATGCTTCAGCTCACTTTGCTTTTGTAGGAAACTTTTTATTTCTTTTCAAAGTTAAGTTAAAGCTGTGATCTTTTTATAATATATTCTCCTCTTGGTATATTGCTTATCAGATAGGCTTTCATGCTGTCTGATTAAATAAAGATGTCATTTGAAAAATCCAGACGGTACTTCCTTGGAACCCTGGGCTTCCCACAGAGCTTTGGAGGGACTCTGCAAAGCTGGTGGGGTCATCTGAGACAGAGGCAGGAGTTTTTGGCGTGATTTCCCTCCCGATTTTGCTGTTGAGAAGATTTGGTAGTGTGCCCCTAGTATAGTTCAATTCCATAATAATGGATTGGGCTACATGGTCATATTTTAAAGCAGATGAATAAAAGTTTCCTATGTCAATTCTGCCCACCTCAGTTCTGCTTAGGAGAGAAGTTTGAGACATTTCAACTACAGCATTATGCCTGAACTTAAATGTTTGGTGGAAATATCCAATTAAGCTTAGTTGAGTTCCAAACAGATGTTATTCCACAGACTTTAATATTAAATATTTTCAAATTGCCTTGCCTTCAAAGGGTACTCTGAAGTCAAAGACAGCTTTGAAAATGAACATTTATGAAGTCACTCAAGCCCTCTTTAAAAAAGTCTGAATTCATGGCAGAAGAAACTGGACAAAAGGCCCTTAAAATTCTGATGTACATTTTGTTCTTCACCCCCACCTGACGTCCAGTGTCCTCTCCAATGCTGTTTGTGACACGTAACCATACTTTCCTCTATCCCATTGACATGTAGGCTTCTCACTGTGCTTTGTTTAACCATTTATTGCAGCAATATAAAAAAGAAAGTCATTAAAACCCTTAAAGCATAGGGTTTAGTTCTTTGTTCTGTTTGTATTCCTTTAGTCAATGCACTGGGCTGTCCAAAGTAAGAAGGACCAAATGCTGGAAGCTCCTGACTTTAGTAATACCAACAACATAACTAACGAGATGTGGACACAACAGATGGAAAACAGTGGAGATGGATTATTGGAAGGGAGCAGGGAACAAGAAGATGTTGCAATCCCTGATGTCAAACCACAGTCTTCAAAGAATCCAGACTCCCCAAGTAAGTGAAAACAGCAGTTATAGAAAATTGCAGTACTCAGGGATTGGCCTGAAATGGGGGCTTTCAGTCGTGAGAAAGCCTTCTCCAGAACAGTGTGTTGAACTTTTAGCTTTTTAAATGTGGTTTTGGGTTGGGATTTTGGCTTGGGTTTTATGATTTTGATTACTTATTTAATTTTGAAGTTTTCAGATGCTCCTTCCTCCCTATCCCAAGTTTCCTTGTTTGTTTGCTAGTAAAAGCTGCAACTGGAGAAGAAGGAGAAAAAAGTATGCTTCAACCAAAATGGAAAGTTTAGTTTTTCTGATATATAAAAATGCAAAGTAAAAAGAGAAGGCTGTTATTTTAAGTGACTTTTAAAAATAAATTTTAGAACTGTTAAGTAAAATACTTAGGTTTGGGGGATTTTTATCCATTATTCAGTAGTTTTGGACAGTTTGCATCTTATGAGTTAGTGAGGTCTAAAATTTGAGACTTGAAGGCTTCTTTTGTATTCAAACAGTTTGTTTTTTTCTAAGTAGCATATGCACCAGAATAAATGTGTGTTTCAGAAGTGTCACCCACCAGTCAGCACTTCCTGGCTGTGGTTTAGTACCTGATCAAAGCTTCCTTAGCACCACGGGCACCCTCTGTGCTGCCTGATCCTTCAGGACTTTCATAATCCTAGGCCCATGTTAGCACAGAACTATTGTTAAACAAAATCCTGTCAGTTCTCCCCAGTTTGATCAAACAGGAAATTAGGGTGAACTGTGCGGGGACCAAAACCTAATGTAATCCCAAATATTTGTAGAATGCACAAAATTGCTAAGAAAATTCTACAAGGAAGTGTATGAAAACTTGATTTTGACTAACTGAAAACTTGATTTTGAAAAATTATGCTCTATAACTTCATACTATGTACTTTCCTTTTTTATTGGGTTTTTTTGGGTTTTTTTTTTTTTTTTTTTTTTTTTTTTTTTTTTTTTTTTTTTTTCCCCCTTGGTAATGAAGTCATCACTGTATCCTATGTAGAACAGTAAAATTTTGAAGTAAAGAAAACATCATCTTGTTCCTTGTAATGGTGAATTTTCTTTTCATGTATCTTCTTTCTCAAGTTGGTCTTTTTTTTTTAAGTTTTAATTTAATTTCCAGGTATTTGAATGGAAAAACCTTCAAACTCATCAAGTGCCTACTTCCTTTATCCAGTGGCATATATTCACATTAATTAATGTTAATATTATAATATATTTGACAGAGTGTGTGTGCACTTCGGTGTTTATACCCGATGTTAGGATGTTCATAATATTTTTGTTTTGATCCAGCATATTGAGTTCCACTTTGAAACTGTGGCATTGTCTGTTCCTGTCTGCTGGCCTGGATGAATTCTGGACTGCCACCTCCCTGGCTATTTCAGTTCAAACAACAAATTTGAGCACTAATTCTGCTCGTAGGATTCCCTTTGCTGTAAAAGGAAGGTCACATTTTAGTATGAAAAGGCCCCAGGTCACACTTGCAGATTTATCACATCGCCACCTCCATCTTCTTCCTTAGCTTAGGCTGATGCAATCTGTTCAGTTTTCCTTTGTGAGTCCCTTTAGGGTCTGCCAGGATCCTTGCTGTTCTCCTTTGGGACCTTCCCAGTGGATCTCTGTGCTGGGGGTTGGTGTTTGAGCTCCTGTTCCAGCCTGCCAAGAACTCAGTGCTCCTATTTGTCCGTGCTAGACGAGAGCACTGGAAGTGACCACTTTTCTGCTTATTTCTTTTTGAGAAGACCATCAAGTATTATTTCAGAAAATTTAATTTTATGCATGTTTATAATAATTTAGTTGTCTTTCTCTTTTTTTCCCCTCAGGATTTTCAGAGGGGAATTACTGGCACTTGCGTTTCCGCTGGTCAGGCGATGCTCCATCAGACCTTCTGAGGAAATTCAGAAACTATGAGATCTAAAATGAGAAATACACAGGAGCATGAGATCATCTGTTCAGCATTCAGTTGGGGTTTTTTAACAGCAGTTACAAGTTATTTGTATTTTGTATTCTTTGATTGTAATGTGTTGTTCTAGTCAATGTCTAAATACTGATTTGTCACACCTACTGTGAGCGTTACAGATGGAGGTTTTTCTGTTCAATAAGCAAAGCCCTTTTCAGTATTAATATAAAGGGATGTTGTGAGCTTATCTAACATTTTGTATATTGTTTCTTGTATTCTCAAATATTGTGTAGTGATTAATATTTCTTTCAATAGTGTGATGTTATAAAAAACATACTCTCAGTAGAACCCTGGGCTCCAGGGTATCCTGCTCAGCGAGGATCTTCCAAAAGCTTTATGACAAAGAACTGTAAACAGAGCTGTGCTTTTCTCTTAACTCTGTGCTCTGCTTTACTTCTCCGTTGCATTGTATTCACTGCAGTGATTTATAATGTACTCATTACAAACTTAACTTGTAGGGGAGTTGTCATCTTATGTTATAGATGAAATAAGAAGCTTCTTGTTATCCAAGGTCTCTGTGACAGATCAAGCACTCCTAAAAATCACTTAGCTTCTACCTTAACAAGAACACTTTTTGCACCAGCTGTTTGTTTTTGGAAGGCAGTTTCAGAACTTTACTTCTCCATATAGCAATTTTTGGTTTAAGATGTATTGGTGGAAAACGGATCCCTTGTGTATGTGTGCCAACGTTGTCCTGTGGCTTCATAGCAATTCCCCTCCCTGCTCAGGTGTGCTAGGCATGGTTTTACCAGAGTTTTGTACAGTGAGGAATGAAAAATCAGACTAGTCAGCACTAATGTGTACAGAATCTCACACGAAAAGTTTTTGATACTTTGGGCAACTTCAAATTCTGCATTGTTGTTTATTTATTCTGTGTTTGTTTTCTTCTTTGCAAACTTGGCTAATATGTCAGGTATTGACATTGTGGTTTTGTGCAGGCAGATAATTCCATCAGCAGCAAATAAAACTTTATGCATACAGAAAAGGGGTTTCTTTCATGTTTTTAATTAAATCCTCCACCCACCACAGAGATTCCTTTGGAATTCCTTAGTGGATAAAAGCTTAAGGAGTCCAGTTATGAATCCCAATGGAAAGTGTAACCTGGCAAGTGCAGCGTTGTCCCCACACGGGAACGATGTGGTGTCTGTCTGAGGGATGTGTGTGGCTGGGCCGTGCTGTGCTGCCTGAGTTACTGTGGCCCTCCTGCCTGGGCCTGTTTGCCACCTCCTGTGCCCGAGTGCTGCTGCCCACTAACGGGTGGAGCTTACTGACCTCCTGGGCACCTGGAGCCAGCCCTGGGGCTGCCGCTGCTGCTGGGCCCGGCTTGTAAGAGCTGGAGTTGTGCTCCTACAGCCACACTGGCCCCAGAGTGGATGGCATTGGTACCAAGAGCAGTTCTACAGCACATCATCTTTCATTTTACATGCTTTTCCCTTGCACATTTTGCAGCTGCAAACATTGCAAGATGAGATTAATAATTCTCTGTAATGTTTGATAAATGTAACTGGTTTGGTTTTTTCTGATGCATTTGCTGGCTTTACTTCATACAAAGGTATTTGCTCAAGAAAGACTTTGGTCCATTTTATATAATGCCTGTCAAACAATTGTAACAGAAGAAACTCTTACTGTATGTGATGGATACTAAGTAATAGGGAACAATTTTCCCTCCAACAAAAAGATGGAAAGCCAGCTGGAGCACTTTGAATCAGATGGGAGCCCAGATTCTCCTCTGCCCATTTCACTTGCCAGCAAAGGTAAAAGGGGATAGTTGGATGGATGATTTAGCACCTAATGAGCTGCTTTCCTTTGAGAAGTGAACACACAATAGACCTTTGAACAGCAAACTAATAGTTTGTGTCGTTAAAACTGATGTCATTATTAGCCAATTATTGCGTGGTTGGTTTTGGCAAAGAACCTTTGGATGTTTGTTCTGGATGGATAACTGCAGCCATTCGGAAGGCTCTTAGCCCAGTAAAAGCTCATGGCAAAAGTTGTGTTTTGCAACAACCTGTTCAAGATCAGCCCTATAATTTGTATTTGTCCTCATGAGGAGGGCAGGTTCTAACTGGTGCTCCAGTACACCAGTGCCACCAATACAGACTTTTTATTTTTCCATTTCTGTACATGTTAAACTTGAAATAGTATGCTTTTCTGTATTTCTTCAGTTGAATGAATCCAGTCCTAGCAGAGCAAACTCAGATGGATTGGAAAACAAGAGGAGCCTGTGCACCGTGTTCTGCTTTTTATTCCCCAGAGCCAGGTGGGACCTGACCTGTTGGCCAGTAACAAGAGTTAACTGGAATGAGTGGGCAGCCCAGTTCTCCCTCTCGTCAGAAAGTAAAGAAAGCACCTGACAGCTTAGTCAGTGTTATGTCATCCAGGGTCTACACCCCAAGCATAAACTCTTTATCTGCTTCTTTAAAGATACAGTATTTTTAGAAGCTTTTTTGCTAGTAGTGTGAAAAGATCCAACGAATGTTCCACCTGACATTTCAGCAGCAGTTATTGGGGTGCTTTGGCCCCTGCACTGGTGAGCACCAAATGTAATTCACATGCTGGAACTTTAACTGGGGCAGAGGTTGTGTGGTGCATCTCAGGCTCTGTGAAGGTGTGATTAAGGCAACAGAGTCAGAGGTTTGTGGTTTTCAGGGGCCCACTGAGATCTTTAACTCTCTCTGCAAAGTGGAGACAGCGGCAAAGGGTTCTCTGTGGGAGTGGGGAACAACAGCAACAAGCCCAGACACTATTTATTAGACTAGGGCCTAGGAGTTTCAGCTTGGAGGAGGGCAGCCCTCTGAAGACGTGGTAAGCTCCTGTTTTCTTCTTGAGCTCCCCCTGGGAGCTGCTTAGGTGGGTAGTCAAGGATCCCAATTGTTTTGGGTACGTGCCGTGTTACAGCTCTGAATGATTGGGTATGAAAATAAACAGTTGTGAGGTGAGCCCAGATCCTCTGGAGTCCAGACAAAAGTGTTGATAAAACCCAGCCATCACTGGACTTGTGAAGGCTGAGGAGTTTTCATCTGGAAGTTATGAGACAGCAGATGGCTTGCAATTGTATGATGACAAAATACAGAGTATAGGGAACGCTGTTCAATGCTGTGTTCCCAGGCCTTTGAACCATTTTTAAACAGGAATTAAGTAACTACGTAGCCAGTTATTCACAGTGAAACTGAATAGCATGGGGGGATTGTGGAATTATATAAAATTATTATATCTTTATCTGCTGTTGTTATACTTGTGCAAGTGCAGAATATATAAGATTGTCAAGAACTAAAACATCCTTTTTGTTTTGCCAGTATTTGAGAAGTTGCTTTGCCAACATTTGCCAAGTGACAGTGTAAGAATTAGTTTGGACGATAAACACAGACAGTACATGACTTATAATCTCAGGCTGAGTAATGCTGAATAATAGGCAAGGTCGTTACTTGATTGTTTGTTTTCCTCTTTAAATGCGATTTTAAACAAAGGCAGTTTATATGTTCTATAATAAAAGCAAGTATCTGGATTATTAAAAGAGATACTGTGTATCTTTAATTTCCTGAGCATGAACATTGCTATCTTACCTTCCCAGCAGACTCATCTCTCATTTCAGGATATGAAAGCGTAAGCAGCGAGGCTGTTGTAAAGCTGATGAAATCACGCAGCCAAAGATAAAGCCAGTCCGTAGTTTGCTGGGCTGTGTCACGCCAGACGGGCACACGGTTATCAGTGTGTGTGTGTGTGTGTGTGTGCGTGTGTGTGTGTGCGTGTGTGTGTGTGCGTGTGTGTGTGTGCGTGTGTGTGTGTGTGTGTGTGCGCGTGTGTGCGTGTGCATCTGTGTGTGTGTGTGTGTGTGTGTATGCGTGTGTGTGTGTGTGTGCGGGTGCTCGCTGCCCCCGCTCCCCCTGCTGCCCGCACAGCCGCCGCCTTCTCAGCCCTTCCTGGTGCTGGGCCACGCGTGGGAGGAGACCGACACACCCGCGTGGCCAGAGCTCAGTTTCAGCCCATCACAGGCGGGTGGGGAGTGCTGCCTTGTTTAGTTTTTCCTGTTTAGTTATTGATGGCGAGACAACTTCTGTCGTTTTTTTTTCCCCTGTCAATACCATACTGTGTGTGTGCGTGCATCATGCATGTGCAGAAGGTCATAAAAGGTAGGAAAAGAGGATTGAGGGGTCCCCCTCACTGGAGGTCCAGGAGGAATCACACCAGCTTCCTTCAGGAAAGGCAAGGTTTGATGGAGCAAGTCCATTCCTTCTATAGAAGCCTTCTGCTGACAAGATTTAATTTATTTTCGTTCTGCCCCTAATGTCCAGCTGTAGGACGTAGGGGCAGAACAATAGACCTTTGGGTGAATCAGAACATTGTGTGTGTGTAAGCCATTGGATGAATCCTGAGCTTTGCAGCTGACACTGTCCTGTCTGCAGGGCCTGGAAGCTGAGCTGTGGAAAGAGCACCGAACCCAGGCGCCCTTCGCTCACTCCATGCAGGGCTCTTGTCACTGCTTGCAGGTGCAACACCAGAACCTCGCTCTGGGACCTGCTGCTGCTTTGGCACTGCTGTTCCTTCTGGCAGGGCCAGGGGAGGAGCAGGTAGGCACGGCTGATGAGCTGCAGCAGGATAAAGATCACAGGGCAACTAAGATGATGGGGGGAGCATCTCTCACGAGGAGAGGCTGAGGGAGCTGTGTCTATTCAGCGTCACAAAGAGATGACTGAGAGGGGACCTCCTTAATGTGTACAAATACCCAAAGAGGGCATCAGGAAGGTGGAGCCAGGCTCAGCTCGGTGGTGCCCAGTAATGGGACAAGAGGCAATGACCGGGAACTGCTGCACAGGAGCTGCTGCACAGGAGCTGCCTCCTGAGCGCACTTCCTTGCCGTGCCGTGACCCAGCACCGGAGCAGCTTGCCCGGAGAGGCTGTGCAGAGGGGCTCCAGCCGGCTGGGTACTGCCCTGCCGGTGCTCCGGTATCACCCGCAGCAGCAGTGATGCACTGTGCGGAGCCAGCCCGCTCTGTGCCATTATCCCGCTCTGCCCCGCTCTGCGCTGATCGCTGTGGGCGCTGCAGAAGCCGCCAGAGGAAAGGAGAAGCGAGCAGTAAAACTTGCACACGACAGGGAAGGAACGAAAAAATCAGAGCCCCTCCGGGCCGCAGCGAGCAGGGTTCGAACCTGCGCGGGGAGACCCCATTGGATTTCAAGTCCAACGCCTTAACCACTCGGCCATCGCTGCTGATACTGTTTCACCTCCCAGGCTGCAGCCTTATAGGGCGTTCCGCCCGCGGCGAGCCCCACCCCCACGCCCCGCAGCCAATGAGTGCCGCCGACCCCAGCCCCGCCCCCGCAGCAATGGCGGCCGCGGCTCCGGCGGCGCAGCGCCGGCGGAATAAATCCCGATTCGCACCTGAGAGATTCCCGGCCTGGACCGCAGGCTCCTGCCAATTAAACCCGAGTCTGATAGGGAGGAGGCAGCCGGGAACTCCTGCAGGAGACAGCAGCCATTAGGTGTTGCATTAGCTTTCAGTGGCGTTAATGTTTTTCCTAGTTGTACTGTTTCTTTCAGTTATTGCAAAATCTCGAAAGGTCTCTATCATACGACCTTTACATGTAATTCAATTCCCTGTAGTTAATTTTTTATCTAGTAGTACAATGGAAATTAAATTTCATTTGACTTTCTATCTGTGTTGCAATGGGTAAAAATAATAATTTTTCCTGATTTTTAATTTCTGTACTCAGAGCTTTGTTTCATTATTATAAGTAGCTGGAGTGATATTGGCGACATCCCGATTTCCCATCCTCTTTTTTTTTTTTTTTTTTTTTTCCTTTTTTTCTGGTATGAGTTATTCATCGAGAATCATTCTCTTAATAATTGTTTCAACTTTCCTCACCACCGAAAATATTGCTGAATTAGTAATGGTCCTAAAGTAGGCTAGTGGAAATGGCCTGCTCGGCCTTTTCTCTGGAGCGTGCCCGGGGGATGTGGTGGACAGACGGACGTGGGAAAGCACCGGGTGTTCCTGTGCTGTCAGAGCGAGGAGCAGCGAGCTGGCAGCGCGCCCCGGGGCAGCCGCTGGATGGGAGGGAAGGAGAGGAAGGAAGGCTGTCCGTCTGTCCGTGGGGTTTGCCGCTGAGCACACGCGGCTCCGGCCCGGGCTGTGCGGCCGTGTCCTTCGGCCACAGCTCCGTGTGGTGTCGCAGAATTCCCGCCCGGAAAGCCCTGGGAGGCCGACACGGGAAGAGGCCACGGGCTGTGGGAGCGCTCCAGCCCGCTGTTCTCCATCGGACCTTGCCGGAGGGTGCAAGCCGAGGGCCCCGAGCGTTCCAGCGCCGCGGGCTCCCGCCAGGCTGCAGGGACCGCGCTGGAGCCCCGCGCGACATCCCGAGCCCCTGCAGCCTGGACACAGACTCGGTGCTCCTTCTGAATCACAACTCGGAATGCGATGTCTGACTCCACTGTTGTGGATTTAGGAGCCTTTCTTTCCTAGCAGAACTAAGAAAACACTTTTTTTTTTTTTTTTTTTCCCTTTAGACAACAGCTGCTTTGTGCTCACGTGTAGGACTCGAGATCAAATGTTTAATTTCAGTAAGGATAAATCCGAGGCGGTTGAGGCACACCGTGAGCTGTGTTGAGGCGGCTCCTGTGGGTGTGTCCGGAGGAGTCCCTGGTTCCTGGGCAGGGCTGCAGGGACCTCCAGCGTTCCCAGCGCAAGCTGCAGCCGCAGAGCAGGGAGAGCGCACCAAGAGCGGCTTCCAGCTCCTCCAGGGGCCGGTCCCTGCCCGGGAGCAGTGACAGAAGGGCTTAGAGACACATGCAGAGTGCCGCTGGAGTAAGTGTATTTTGAACAGGAATTTATCTCCCCAAGGAATCTCATAAGTTTTATTTCTTAATCGCTTAAAGGTAGCAATATCTTGACATGAGAGCAGGTGACAGATAAAACTGGTTTAGGTCTGTTATATAAAATAATGGTGCTAGGATAGAATTGCCTGTAGTTTTTCATGTTAATAATTTCTTCAAATAACGAGGATAGATACCGAAAAATCTTTAATAGCACATGGACAGATTAATCAACCAGTATCAAAAATACACAAGTGGATTCTTAAGAATTACAGGGACTAAGCCCCAAGCACTTCAGTCCTTCAGGTTTCTTGTCTTAGTTGACCTTAAGTGCAATGCCAGTTTTGTAATGCTTGTTCCATCCCTTCTCCACCACTTGCTCTGTGGCCTTTTATTTAATCAGTCTCTATCAGCCTTACAAATTCAATAGTTTGAACATTTCTTCCTGTTAGAAGTCTATGATGCTTGCAACAGAAGACCAGAAAAAATAAGTTAGATTCTGCCTAAACTAACAAGTATTTACAGCAATGTTGGCAGAACAGCAACTTTGTGCTTATGTGTAACTTCAAATATTCCAGAGTAAATTTTACTTCTCCCTTGAAGAATGTGAACGAAATAATGACTCCAACATAAATTGTGTTTTACAGCAAATAATTATTGTACCACAAGACTACAGAATTTCATGTTTTCTCCCTGAGGAAACAAATTAATGCTGCATGTTGAAGAGTATTTCTTCTGTATTCCTCCTGTTCTGTCTGTTGCCTTTGTAGATTATTTAACAAAGCTGAAACCATACAGAAAAAGAAAATAAGGATTTACTGTGGAAAGTTCTGTATGGCTAAAATATCACATTCTGTGAATGCCTAAGAATGGATCTGGAGACAAGTTTCAGGGAGAGAATCAGAAGTGGCTTCGTTCCTTTAGTTAGGACATGTCAAACTTTTCCTTCTTTGTTTGCCAGCAGTGACAAAATTTATTGAGATAAAATGGCTGCCGGGCAGCTTCCATGGAATTAACTGGTATCCTGTGGTGTTCTTTATAAACATTATCTGGAAAAACAAGAAGAAATTTCTGCTGGTCAGGTAAACCAAAGTGTCCTAGTGCTGGTCCTTTCTGCTCAAGGATTTGAGGCTGCTGGCCCTGAGAAAGCGGGATGCTTCTGACTGGCTGTTGAGTGGAGGCAAAGGGAGCTGCAGCCTCCTGTGCCTCGGGCTCTGCTCACGGATGCTCGATCACCTCACTCACAGCAGCACTTGAAATGAAGGCAGCAGGGCATCTCTGCCGCCACACGCGTGTGAATAAACGAGGACAGTTTGCTAATCCTGCTCATGCAGCTCAGTATTAATTAAGGTGTCTAAACATCCATGCATATGCAAAAAGGGGCACACAATTTTATCCCAAAGCTTTCATTTTACTATTGAAAATGTGGCTCTTAAAGTTGACAGACTGTAGAATCTGCTTTTGCCTCTAATCCTCTGAAATGTTCGGTAATAGATCATTTTTGGAAAAATGCTATTAGTTCTACTTAAATTTTAATGAAATTACAGGCTCAGTGTCACAAGATTATCAAATTATATTGCTGAATGTTATTGTAGGTGTCAATGCAGCCAAATGTTTTGTTTCATTCTTATTTTTAATAAATAATCTTAGCAAATTTGAGCATGTGTGTGCTACTGGATTGGAACTTTTTTCTTTAATACATCTTTACCACATTTAGTGGGTTTTAATCAAAAAGAATGTTCCTGTTTGCAACTGGTTTAGCCACACATCTACATTTTTATGAAAACAGAAGGTAAATGGATATGCTTTCAAAATCCAGCTACACTGAATATCACAGGAAGGTGCTACTCTGGGCCAAAACCACCCACATGGTAGGTTTATTAATGAGCTATTATTTATTAATTGGCTTTCACAATGCATCTGCAACACTATAAAGAGTA